AAAAAAAAAAATCTATTTCAAACAATTTAGACATCATACAAATGGAACAGAAAATCAAACAACTCATAAATTTACCGAGACTTTGAATCAAGGATAAACACCTCTTTTTATAGACCAAATTTGAGTGGTTCAGGCCCATTTTTGTACCCTATTTGTGGAAAGTGGCAGGAAGTTGTGGACCATGTAAACAATCTTTCCCACAGAAGCCCTGATTACAACTGGGGTGAAGTATAACGACTACTGCTGATGAGATCCTAAAAAAGCTGTTTGCAAGTGATTAAGTGCATGCATCACCTAATGATCATAATTGACTGTGCTTTCAGTCCACAATTTGGTCTTGATAACCATGTTTTGCTCTGAAAGCAATGCAGTCTATAGAAAAGAGTTAAATGAGGTCTACACGTCATCCTTCATATTCTATGTGTGCTTTAGATGGATTCATTCATTTGCAAATGCAGAGAAATTAGTAGAGGTTCTGTTTACCTTAACAGTGCCATCAAACGACCAAGAGAACAGGTGAGAGGAAGTAGACTTGTTCAACAGTTGAAACTTCCTGACCGGCTCCTTATGGCCCTCCAGCACCAGACACTCACCAGTCCTCCACTTCCACACCTGCAGACAAAGACAACGTTCATCCTCTCAAAAGGTTAACATTGACATTTAAGGTCTCCTGAAACTGATTTGCCAAGCATATAGCATTGAAGTATTGATTTTGGTTCAAAGTGATAAACTTTGTTCGTATTACGGTCTATTATCCATTCTTATAGAATTTTAATGTGCATGCAGCAGTTCACAACTATCAATTACTAAACCGTTTTCCAACCTCACACTTCCTCTGCTTGTCATCAACGAGCCCTGGAATGCCCCCAGTGCCCAAAACTTCTCAAACAACAGCTGCAGCAGAAGTTTGCGAGCATGTGGCGCAATTACTAAATTGCAAACTGGTAGGGATGTAACGATTCACTCAACTCACGATTCGATTCGATTCACGATTTTGATTTAACGATTCGATTCACGGTTTTTTTATTATTATTTTTTTTTTTTTACAAAATTAGATTTAAGACAAATTATAAATTCAATGTGTCCTTTTATTATTGCTTGGACAAAATGCTGCACATTTCTTTGTGAAATTGAAATATAACACTATAATAAAATACTAATATAGTACTTGCATATTATTGCTCTTTTGTTGGTTTTGATTGCTTTTATTGTCCTCATTTGTAAG